CTAAACAGATATGCTGTCTGCCGACTCTTCTGAATATATTTGCACCAGTACAGCGCCGTGTCACATAGACAATAAAAAGTACTGTTATGGGATGAAAACAGGAAGTCGTAGCGTGTTTGTCCGGCTACAGATCCTGCACTTCACCGCTCGTGAAAATGAATTATTAGATGTGTGCATTGGGAATTTCTGCCAGTGATACCACACTTTGACTTTTTGCCAGTGTAAGAGACACTGAGCGAGGCTCTGAAATGAAATCTAAAGCCTGTAGATGAAAAATAAAACCCCTGTTCATGAAGCCATCTTTACATTTTCACAGGACTTTTCTCTTTTTTTACTGACTTACATGAAAGTGTTTTATGGGGAGCCTGCGTGACAGAGGGGGATACCACCTCTGAAGCAAAATTTGGACAGTTGACTCATCCAATACATCACCTGTAAGTCTATCTTTGGGAGAGACGGTGAAGCCGCCTTTGATCAGGATCGCTGCGGAGCTGCTTTCAGTTTCACTGGGATGGTATATTATACTGTCCAGTGCAAATCACACATGTCACAGGCCAAAGTATAGCTTTACTGTACACGAGGGGGGAGAGAGGAGCCGTGTTTCTGCCTCAAAATGTTGTGATGCTCACATCACTCTGAGGGATTTTGAAAGTTTTGCATTAAAGAAGAAATCATTAGCAGCGATTAGTTAAAAAGTTACCTTTGGTTTAATAATGACACAGTTAAATACAGAGCATGTGTGTGAATAAAAGCACATGAAGGTGGAATAGTGAAGAATTCTTCTGATACAAGAAGATTCTGCAAAATCATCTCAAAGAAATGAGAAAAGCTCCTAATTGAGGATTTTGTAGTCAAACATATGAGTTCATATTTTGTTTAAAGTTTACTGTTTAACTCAAGTAAAAGTGTTAATATCACAATATTAAAAAAAAGCATTAGTACTGTTAAAAATCAAATATTACTGCTGTTAAATATACATTTGTCCCTGTCCCGGGTCAGTGACCCAGTGTTTTGTGTTTGCATTATTATTGATCTTTAATTTCGTTAATGATTTATCATCAGTAGTTACTTGCTTTTTGTCTGTATTTCCAGCTCCTGAGGTCCTTCAGTATCTTCTGATTTCTAGTCTTCAGGGTTTGTACCTCCCTGTGTTCCCTGTTATGTCTGCATCTCCATGTCTGTCGTGCATTTCCTGTTTTACTTTGACAGTCAGTGTCCTGAGTTTTGTCTCCCCGTGTCCCCTTGTGTCACATTCGTCCCAGCTGTGTTCTCGCTGTTCCCCATCCTCTCGTTTTCTTGTGTATTTAAGCCCTACGTCTCTCCTTCTGCATTTCCTCCTCAGTGTTCATGTCTCAGGCTCCTCGTTGACGGTTTTCTTTGTTCCTCATATTCTTTTGTTAGTTTCTCCCAATTTAGGTTTTTCTCAGAAGTCCCTGTTCTGCTCTGGTCTTGTTTGCATTTTGCTGTAAATTAAAACTCCATCGTCAGCGTCTGCACTAACGTCCAAACTCCTCTCATCTCCACACGATTGCCTCACTAACTGTGACAGAATTACTATTACTAGTAACCAGTGTTGGGAAGGTTACTTTTAAAATGTATTCCATTACAGATTACAGATTACATGCCCCAAAATGTATTCTGTAACGTATTCCGTTACATTACTCAATGAGAGTAACGTATTCTGAATACTTTGGATTACTTAATATATTATCATGCTGTTTACAACTACATGAATGTACTA